ATATACTATGCATAATGCATGCAATCTATGGGAATTTAATCAATTTATTGGTGGGCAAAAGCTAAATCTGTATGCTTAAATGTTACTCCAATTGGTGGGAAAATTGAGTACTCAATTTTAAAAGTATTGAGTACAATTTTCTTCAAATTAAAAAGATCTTGGTTACTTTTAAAATTCCAAACCCCTATTTTTTAAAATTAATTGCGTAAAATTAATATATATTTGGAGATATCCTGGAATATATTTTAAAAATGTGAGGTACCCGATATGATAGTTAGTTTCTCAAAATAGAGGGTACCTCGGAGTATATTTTAAAAATGTGAGGTACCCGATAGTTAGTTTCTCAAAATAGAAGGTACCTCGAAGTATATTTTGAAAATGTGAGGTAACTGACAGTTAGTTTCTCAAAATGGGGTACCCAGGAGCAGTTTTCTGTCCCACTAGTGATGCTCTTAGTGATGCTCTAATAAAGAGTTCGGTGCTACACAGAGTATTTTGTCCAATTTTTATTTTTTATCATCAAAATTAAAAATTTTGATCATTAATTAAATAAAATTAATATTAGGTATTGGTACAAAAATATTCCATCCGTCTTTCATTATTTGTCCACTTTCAACTTTTTTCGAATAAAATTGGTAAAATTTGACTTCAAATTAAAAAAATGATATTGGATATTGATACAAAAGTAGTTTTATTAGATTTATTATATCAAATAATTTCAAAATAATATTTTATCTAATTAATATATAATATATATTTTATTTAATTATAGGTCAAAGATTGAAAACAATTGACTGGAAAAAGTCAAAACTGGACAAATAATCAGAGACAAAGGTAGCAATATATATATATATATATATATATATATATATATATATATATATATATATATATAGGGATTGACTCCAGTGAGATGACACTTTATGGTGAGATGACATGTTTCGGTCAGATGACGCAAAGCTCACCAATGGACAAAGCAAAGCTCACCTGGAAATAAAGCAAAGCTCACCACTTTGAACACCAAAACTCACCTATTTTTTAAATTTTGAAAATTAAAAAAGTAATTAAAAATAAAATAGCAACACCGGTCAACCACCGGTCAACGGCAGTGGCAGGCGGCGGAGCAGCGGCGGGCGGTGGCAGCACACGACGGCAGCCAGAGTCCGGTGGCACGGCAGCCGGCGGTGGTCGCCGGAGTCCGGCGACCGGATGCGGCCGGAGTCCGGCGACGGTGGCCGGCGGCAGGCGGTGGTCAATGCTGGCGGTCAACAGTCAAAGTCTAGTGAGCACCCTTCCTTTGATTTTATTTTTTCAAAAAAAAAATTAAAGTGTTGTAAAAATATGGTGAGCTTTGCCTTACAGTTTGGTGAGCTTTGTAGTTATCTTTGGTGAGCTTTGCAGTGGAGTCAATCCCTAAATAAACTTCTTCTTTCGTTTTTTCTTTGTCCCCAAATAAACTTCTCTTTTTCCTTAAAAAACCTCTTTTACCCCTTACTTTTTCATACCCTACCTATCACATCATACCTTTTTACTAATAATCTACATATCACATCTTACTTTTACACATCACATCAAGGATATTTTTGGAAAGTTAACACAAAAATATCCTTTCCTTAAATCCTCAAAAAATCAAAAATGGAAGATTATTTAAGGACGGAGGGAGTATTTCATATGACGATGCATTTTAATTATGTGAATAAGGAATAGATAACTAAATTGAGATAGAGAGAGTATTATTCGTAAATTTGAAACAAAAAAATATTCTTCTTAAATTAAGGCAATTTTGTTTCAACCAATCATGCCAGCAAAGTCTAAAATTTACATTGAAAATCAACAAAGAAAAAAAACAACACATAATTGCAAACGTCGGAGAGGTGACTTTTCATATCCAAATTTGGCACAACATTCACGTTCCGTTATTCTTTTTTCTAGCCCTCTTTTTAAAGTTATTTTAATTACAATTTAGTATAAAAATATAAAATATAAATGACACTATTTAAAAATACATAAAAGTTATCGAGAATTTGTAATAGTGACAGCGACATCCAATTCGAGACGGAGAGAGTATTACATCTTCAAATTGAAGTAGTACCAAGTATTAATTTCTATCCCTCTTTTCGTATTAATTTCTTTTTTTATGTTTCACTTGAATTCATATATGTGTGTGTGTGCGCGTGCATATTACCCATATTCTACAAAACATTTTATATGAAATAAAAAAATAAGTGACCTTGTGAATTTTATCTATACATGCATCTATGTCACTATGATATAGTTCGTATATAGTCCCTCCGTCCACAAAATCTTTCTACTTTCTTTTTTCATCCGTCTCAAAAAAAATTCTTATTTCTATTAAAAAAGTCACTTTTACACATAGCAATTCTTAACCTACCTATCACATTACATTTTTTCAACTACTAATATACCCATCACATTTATTTTTACCTATCAGATCCAAAGACATTTTTAGAAAATAAACATCAAAATACACTCTTATTAAATCCCTTAAAAAGGACCGATGGGAGTATTAGTTAATAAATTCTTTCATGTATACCTGATGTACATATAAACAAAATGGACTTACACAAATGGAGTCATAAATTATGATATGGATTATGGATATACATTTATCTTTTAATTTTAGGAATTCGTTTACATTAGAAAATTTATTACGGAACTTAGGTCAATGCGATAGAATTGAAGCATTCATACATTAAATAAGCTCTCGTTTGTCATTTCATTCTTTTAAGTTACACAACAATTGACAAGAAATGAAAATATTAAACATTAATTTTATAAATTAATTTAAATCTAATGTATGAATTTAATTTTTTATTCCATTTCTTTCTTTTATAGGTTATTATTATTATTTTAAAGCAATTTGGGTAGAGGGTAGTAATGAACATTAGTAGTCGAGCTGAACCATTGTTTGACATTTGCCGTCACCCAAGATTGGGTTCGGTATTTGAATTGGCTTCTTTTTTTTCGTTTTGCCTCGCATGAATCAACGATATTTCGGTAGAAAAAAGTTGCTGTGTAACACACAACTACTCCCCCAAAGTCCACCGACCTTAGAGAGAACAGAAGGAAGAGCAATAACCCTAGTTCGTTTACCAATTGCCTTCCTTATGTCCTATCTGAGATTGATGGACTTGGAGGGAGTAGCTGCGTACTGCACAATAACTTTTTTTTCAACTGAAATATTGTCGGTTCATGCGAGGCAAAACGACAAAAAAAGAGAAGCCAATTCAAATATCGAACCCAATCTTGGGTGCCGGGAGATGCCAAACAATGGTTCAACTCGACTACCTATGTTCATTACTCACTTCTACCCAAATTGATCACTTCTAACTTTTTATTTCTATAAAATATGTGAGAAAATATATTCTGGAGTATTTTTTTATGTGAACCATATGACTACAAAAGAATAATTTTATATTTTTAAAAGAGTACTTTGTTTCTCAAATCTTTGGGCACGTGGAATAAATTGTTACTTTGCATAATCAATGGAGCACTAAAAAGTATTGGGAATAAAATGTGGAAACTTTAGATATCTGGACGGAGAATTCCATCCACATCCTTTGAGATCCACACATTTAAATACAGACACGGTGAAGAGGAAACCACACAGTCATAAATCTCATTCCACAGTGGCAGCAAGAAGTCACCCAACCAAAAAACCCCACAACTTTGGGGTTCTCAATCCCAACCCACAATTGAATTCCAGTGTTATCTCTTTCATATCGACACATCTCTCTCTATTCCTCTAACCCTACTGTATTTTCTTTCAATTCTTTTAATTTTTTGAGATATAAGCCTCAAAAGACTCATTTTTTCCTTCAAGAATCCATTCAATGGCTATTTGGGTGTTATCAGAATGTGGTCTGAGACCACTCCCCAAAGTCTACCCTAAACCAAGAACTTGTACATCAATCTCAAGATTATGTCTCCCTTCTTCTACTACTACTACTACTACTATTTTTAATTCTATGATTGGTACTAGAGAAAGAAATTGGGCTCTGAAGGTGAGTGTACCAATTACAGTTGCACCAGTGGGTGAAGAGGAGGAGGAGAAGAGGGAGTCTGTAAATGGGAATGACTTTTTTGACCCTGGTTCACCACCACCATTTAAGTTGTCTGATATTAGGGCAGCCATACCCAAGCATTGTTGGGTTAAGGACCCTTTGAAGTCAATGAGCTATGTGGTTAGGGATGTGGCGGTTGTGTTTGGTTTGGCAGCTGTGGCTTCTTTTTTCAATAGCTGGCTTCTTTGGCCTCTATATTGGTTTGCCCAAGGGACAATGTTTTGGGCACTCTTTGTTCTTGGCCACGACTGGTATGAATATAAAAAAGATTGCATCTACTTGCTTTTCAAATGCCAAAGATTGCTTCTTTTTGTCTATTTTATTCGGAATTTTATCTGCCCAAGATTGCATTTTTTTTTTGGAATTTTTAGTCTTGATAATGGTTGTGATGAATTATGCAGTGGGCATGGGAGCTTTTCAAATGATCCAAAGCTGAATAGTTTTGTTGGACATATTCTCCATTCATCAATTCTTGTCCCTTACCATGGATGGTTAGCTCCTTGAATCCCTTGGTCTTATTCAACCTTTTCAAATTTAATTGGATTTCAAATCTTCTTTCTCACTCTACCTATTGAAATTAGTAATCACTAATTAATAACCCATTTTGTCCCTTTACAATACACGGTTACCACTTAATGCTAGTCATATAATGCTGTCATTGCTGTGATTTTTTGCCTAATTTAGTCACATTTATATTTGGTTTTAAAGAAGTCCATATTGTTGTATGCTAACTACATTCAGCCCCAATTATGCACTCATTGTTGCCATCAATCTTGAAACATATGTCATAACGCAGTTTAACATTGTGAGTCTTGCAGTCTCAAGAGGATCTTGTTCTTACGCTCACGGTAGATCTGAGATTCTTCATAGGATTCTGACAGGATAGGATAGGAAAAGTGAGAATGGAAGTTTTAGTGTCAAAAGTTTTTGGAAATTTGCAAACGGATCAACTTATGGCAAATATTTTCTGTGTGATGATGCAGGAGGATCAGCCATAGGACACACCACCAGAATCACGGTCATGTTGAAAATGATGAATCTTGGCACCCTGTAAGTGTCTAAACCTGCTATCATCCAGTTCTTGTTTAGTTTTTTGTTGGGACTGCCTAGCATCACCCTAACCCACAATAGTATGATATTATCCCTTTTGGGTCAAGCTCCCATGGATACTAATGTGGTTGAGTATATTGGTTTGTTTCTTCTTCTTCTTCTTCTTCTTCTTCATTCGGTGTTGACATTGGACTTTGTATTTCCCAACAGTTTTTGCTTACTTTTTACTTAATTTTCATTCAATCTCAGCTTCCAGAGAAGCTATTCAGGAGTCTTGACAATGTCACAAAGAAGTTGAGGTTCACATTACCATTCCCACTGCTTGCATACCCTGTCTATCTGGTTTGTCCCTTTGCCTTATGGTTTATATGAATCTAAACTTGTTTTTTTCAAGAACAAACTGATGTTTGGTTTCATTTTGTGCTGGTTTTTGAATTGGCTGAAGTGGGGGAGAAGCCCAGGGAAGAAAGGGTCTCATTTTCATCCAGACAGCGATTTGTTTGTCCCAAACGAGAAGAAAGACGTCATCACTTCAACCGTGTGCTGGTCAGCCATGGCTGCCATTCTTGCTGGTTTGTCATTTCTGATGGGTCCCGTCGAATTGCTCAAACTCTATGGAGTTCCATATGTGGTTGGTCCATCTTAGCCACACAATTTTTGCTTCTTTGACCTTTTCCCCTAGCATATTCTTTTCTCCATTTATTCCTTGAACCAAACATAATGTTATTGTCACATTTCAGTACTCATTTCATTTTTTTAATGTTTTGTGCAGCTCTTTGTTATGTGGCTGGACCTGGTTACATACTTACATCACCATGGACATGAAGACAAACTTCCATGGTACCGTGGGAAGGTATGCGTTTACCTTATCAATCCCCAAAACCAATTTGGGGACAAGAAGAGTAGTAACCCACTACCAACATTCTTTCCTTTATAGCTTAATTAATTAGTCTCTTAAGCTTTGGGCGTTTGATATGGGAATTTATGTTGATTTGATCAAACAAACAGGAATGGAGTTACCTTAGGGGTGGGCTGACGACCATTGACCGCGATTACGGATGGATCAACAACATACACCACGACATCGGGACCCATGTGGTTCATCACCTTTTCCCCCAAATCCCCCATTACCATTTGATTGAAGCTGTGAGCATCTCTTAAATTTCAACCATCTGTCTTAATTTTATTTTCACATCTATTGCGAACCGGTAATGTCTGTTATTAATGTCTATTGAATGAATCTATCTGCAGACGGAGGCGGCGAAGCCAGTGCTGGGGAAGTATTACAGGGAGCCGAAGAAATCGCGGGCCCTACCGTGGCACTTACTCGGAGAGCTCTTCAGAAGCATGCAGAGGGATCACTACGTGAGTGACACTGGGGATGTTGTGTATTACCAAACTGATGCAAATCTTGTTGGATCTCAGAAAAAAGATTGAAAGATCTGAGTGAATTTGTGGCATAGTTATGAGTTGTGATGCCACAAATGGTGTATTATGTTGTTATGAACATTCAGTTCAAGAAATGATAATGATAGTTATAATAATAATTTAAAGAAAGCTGCATGCTTGGATGGGTGAATTGTTGGTGCAAAAAACAAGGAATGGTTAGGGGGGAATTTGACTGATAGTGATACAATTTGTTGTTGAAATTATTGACTTATTTGAAAAAGTATTCAAAAGTTCACATTCTTCATAAATTCTACTCCGTAGAAAACAATGTCTATGATTGAGATTGCATCCTTTGTACTCTCTCCTCTCATCTATTTCATCAAGTTGATGTAGTACTAGTTTTTTCTCCCAACTCAATTTTTTTTATTTGTGTGTTTTCATCAATTATTTAATAAGATAAAATATTCTTGTTATTTCTTGTTTTTGTTAAACTTTTGAGTTTTGACATGATATTTTCAATATGTAATTTTTAATTTTTTGAGATTTTTGCTTCGTAAATTCCAATTTATAATCATATTTGGGATTTGCTTTTGATTTTAGTTCTGGGTGTCTCTATGTTTACAACTTATATATTGAATGAATACTAGAAATATAAAGAGTAAAAGTTTATATTACTCCTGCACTTTTCTTTTAGTTGTGATACAAAGGGTTATTCATGAAAATGAATAAATACTACTCCGTACATTATAATAAAGTCAAGTATAAAAAAAATATTTATTCATATTTTGGATGAGAATAAAAAATGTTACCTCGGAGTATTAAAATAGTATTCCCTTAGTTTCAATTAATACTCTCATTTTGACTTTGCATGGGGTTTAAGAAAATGAAAACCTGTGATTGAAAGTAATGCACTGTATAGAAAAAAAATATTAGCCACAAAATGCTTTGCAAAGAAAGAAGATTAATTTGCAATAACTAAAAAAATTAAAGACGATTAATTTGGGATAGAGAATCTCTTACTCTATTCATTCTATTCAGTGGGATAGAGTATTGCAAACATGAATAGTGTATAAGATGCTCTCTCCCAATAATACTATCCTTAGCAATCTACCCCAATATCACACCCTTCCAATACTACCACAACACAAAAAATATGGTCACAATTTATTCATGTGCTGAGTAGAATGTATAGAGTCAAACATGTGGATGAGAAAACATTTTGGGACAAAAAATTTGCTCTCCTCCTATGGGAACAATCATTACATTCATAAAGAATAGAACACAGAGCTTTACATTCCAATGATCAACCTTGAACATATGAAGTATTCAAACAGGAACTAAAGAATCTTATCATTTGTGTTTTACAACCACCTGAGAAAATTGTTTCATCCTTGAGGCACAACATACAAGCCTTAGGTCTTAGGATTAGTTATACTCATACATTATCATCAATCAAGAACCTCTTGACATGGTACCTATAATCATGCTCAAGATGCTCTTTTCTGTAACAAGAATGATTTGCAAGAGGGACAGAGTGAGTGATTATCCAGAAATGAGCTTCACAATAATGCAGAGAATGTTGAGGAGCATGAGTGGGACTCTCAAGTACTGTGTTGCATAGATGAGTCCGAGAATCCGGCCCTTCAATGAATTCCTCTTGATCCCAGAGTATTCCTCGAAGCTCCATCCTCTACGCGCAAGAAAGCGGTCTTCGTTCAGTATTGCCAAGGCGTTGGCAAGAAGCAGACAGCCCTCCAGGAGCGTCCACAAACCCATTTCCTGATTCATTTCATAGTTCACGCATGTCTCATGATTCTCATAAGCAAAAAAATAAATAGAGGGATTGTTTCCAAGGACATAGGGCTCATCACACAGGACTACAATGACAAAGGACTTTAATTTTCCTAAACAGAACATGTTGTTATCAAAAATAAAAAATTCAAAAACAGAAACATTGCAACTATAGTTATTCATATGCGTACACTAAATGAGTAGTATTTGAGTTGTACAATAACTAATCTATTTTTAAGTACGTAGCAAACATTACGATTTATGAATTGTATAACCACTTAACCTGCCCAACATTCTCTAACACTCCAAAAGCATGTTGGACGAGCACATGGATCGCTGGCACTACATAATCACAACTAACAAGCTTTTCCCCAAATATTGGTTATATTATGCTCTAAGTGAATTATGAAAGGAAAGGTTGAACTAAATGTGGAGGAAGAATTTAACACACTACTAATTGAAATGAAGCAAAAAATCAAACCATGCTCTGAAGTAATTTATACGGAGTATGAATCAACTAAAGCTCTGGAAAACAAATACTCCGTAGTAATAACATTATAACAATAAGTTAACAATACTCTGTAATAAAATAAATTACTTTAAATTAAGACTAAATGTTTTAGCGTATTGAATTTCTTACTGTTTTTATGTTAGATGGCTCCTATGTATAAACTTGTGCAGGGCATCAATTTGCGAGAAATTCATTGGGCATTCAGAAAAAGATTCACGTATGTGGTGGTGTGAAGACCTCACAGAGAGAGTTACCATGGTATGAAAAACTATAGGCCATATCTGCATATTCCATGCCAAAAACGTTAAAATATGTTGATCTTATACCTATAAATCATTTTTGAAAATGTTAATATACCTATGTCGTTTTGTACTATAAAATTTAATTTTTTATAATTTGTTTTACATTATGTTCAGCAGTTCATATAGTGAAAGAAATTTTCATTACACAAACTAGTATCTTCTAGTATGCAAAATCAAGAATACACTACTCATTCATTTTTCACATTTGAATAATGAACCCTGTTGCCTACTTGTCTTATCTTGTATTTCGTCTAGCATTGCTTTTTAATATGTTTTACTTACTGTTAATACGAAGTATATGATTTACTCAGTATTTATAGATTACACTATTACAGCTTTTTTAAAAGAATAATCTAATTTATATTTTATGCTCCATATTTCTTTCTTATATGGTTTGTGATAGAATTATCTTACTATGTTCAATTTCTCAGGAGACAAATGCTGCAATATTCTTCAGCATTCAATGAAGAAGAGGGTTAAAAAATATAGCAGAAAATCAAATCATAAACAAAGATAAAAACCAAATCTTTGAAGATAAAAATTCACTCTCACTGCTATATACACAGCAAATAAAGCAATCAACTGATTAGGTCTAAGAAAAGCGTATATATTGAACAGGGAAAATGAATCTTAAAATTACAGTAGCAAATGGAAATTGATTAATTGAAATCCCATTGTTTAAGAAGAAGCTACATTTCCTAATTGATCGGAGTGATAATCGAATAATGGAAACAATAAATCCAAAAAAAAATGCATTGCGAAATACTTCGTAGTAAGTTAAGACCCGAGAATTAACATGACTCTGGAAGACGCCAAACCTGGAGATTTCGATTGGGAGACGGAGGAACTACCGGATACGAGTAGGAATATCCACGTGGCGGCTCGATGCGAGGTCAAATGCCTCGGATACAGCCGGGCTGCGACGGAGAAGATCGCCGGAGTTGGGGTTTCGGAGAGGTACGGGGAGGCGAATCCGGTGACGATGGGCTGGTCAGTGTCTGTCATTTGTGGAGTTATTACAACAATGGGCCGGAAGAATGCCTTCTGGCCATAAGAAATGGACCTCAGCCCGGTAAAAGAAAAACGAAAAAACTACGAAATTCTAGTCTAGAATTGAAAATTTTAATTTCAATTTTATTATTTGGTAATACAAAATTATGTGGATTTAGAATTGTTAGTACAAAAAATAAATTGAAATTGGAGATTTTAACTTTATTTAATTCAATTCTACAGAATTTTAATTTTAATTTTAATTTTAATTTAATTTTAATTTCACCAATTTCGTGTATCAAACAGATCTAAAACAAATTACTCAAATTAATCTGTGTATTTATCGTTTAGATAGTTGAATTTTGATGGGTGTATTCTACCCAGTACCGGTCGAAGAAGACGTTCAAATATTCAACCAGTCAAGGTTGATTTTCCAGGATGGGAGACTTAAATCGTCAGTAAAAGGATGCTTGGTTGACTAAAAGATGACCGATACACTTTGGAAAGTCTACAGGTCAAATTACTTTATCGCCTCATTCGTCACCAATTTCAGTAAACTCATCCCTCAGAAATCACCCGGTATGATTTCTAGACTTGGGAAGTGTCAGCAAAGAAAAATTCAAAAGAGCTTGGACTGTAGTGACCATGATCAGCGGAGAATCATTGGAGATACTTGAGTAATCAGTCCAAAGCACTACATGACAAGGGAACCACCTTCCTCATTAGGCGACAAGACCGCTAGAGGACAGAAGCAGACACCTTGCACCACCTAAGAACGTGCCCTGGCGTGGATGCGCAGCGCTTTGTCTCCTCTAGCTTACTAAAATACTGATGTAAACCTCAAAGAAAGTGATCTGATTTTTTCTTTCTAAAACTCCCGTGTAGAAGTTCTGTTGCATTCTATTATATTTGAAATATTAATTGGGATACAGGTGTTTCCACCTCCAGTCCTCCCGGTCACTTTGAGTGTTTTTTCCCTTTTACTTTTACGAATCAAGTAAACAATCCTAGACCCGGTCTAGTACTGTTTACCCGGTTAGGTAATTTACACCATCCAATTTCATTCATTTTCTTATTTATTTTTATTTTTCATTTAATAAATTAATAGGGTCATGTCACTACTTGTTTTATATAAAAATTGTGAAATCTATCTTTTAAACTCTATAAGATGACCCTAGCATAATGCTTTCTATTTTTTTCTATAGTTATTTTTCTTTTTATTGAAAAATGCCAACCAAAACAATGTCATTCTAAAACATACTTCAAGCTCTTTGGAATCAGTACCATATTTATCATTCTTCATTATTCTTTTGCTACATTTAATATAGATTTTGTTTGCTCTAATTTCTTCTATTCGATCTATCCTAAAATAATGATTCTCTACAAAAGGAGTGATGTCAAACTTTGAGTGTTGATTTTCTTAAATTACATTGCCAAAGACCACAAGGCGGAGCCAGGAGAAAATGAATGGGGACGCAAGTGACACCATTGGGAGCTTCTTCTTGTTGGCCTTGTTGTCATCATTGGAAGCTCCATCTTCTTCCATCATCATGAGATGAAGATAATCTTATTTTTTTAAATATTCTATCGAGAAAAATAAAAGAAATAGAATATATTTTAGAGAAATTATAAGAGAATGAGAATATGTGATGTGCGTGTAAATTTGTTAAAAAATAAAGAGTATTTATAATTGATTTATTTTAAATGCCCAACGGCCAAAATTTGAACTTTTGGAAGAGGGGGACAACAAATTTCATGCAGCAATGATGCGTCAAATCTTTAACGCAAGGCGTTTGATGTCTTGCTGACGATGGAGGAAAGCGGATGCGTTGAGCAAATGCTTAACGCTTGTGAACGTTGCATCCATTTCCGATGATCTTATTATAGAAGACTTCACCAATGAAATCATAAAGAGTACAAACCACTAGTGCCTATACATTTATGTTTTCTTTATGATGAGAGTATGTTGCCAAAACAAATTCTTTTTTTATTTAACTCATGCATTAATAATATCATTCGATTGGCTCTGTAGAAAAACACAAAAAAATTACTCAGTACTATGTAACAATTGATTTCTCACTTTTAAATTTTTTTTTAAGAAACAATAAAAGTGAAGGAGAGAAAGTCATTTAGTAAAGGATGTAGTATAAATGTATAATAACATTAGAAATCTTATTACAATTACATTTCGAAACAAATTTACTATTCCAATGATAATATATACTTGTAACTACCCAATAAAACATGTGTTTTTAATAGACTACAAATAATACATTTTCCATAATGGTGCATAATAAAGAATGAATACTCTATGAGTTCTATTCAAATCAATGTAATATTTTCAGGAAGAATTTGCCACACTTCAGAATATCTTCCTGAAATTAACTTTACAATAGAATGAGCAGTCAAACTATACTTCTCTTGAGCTTTCATAAATCCTTGCTTAATCACACTCTTAATCCACTTTTCTACCTTCTTATTATCTGTTAAACACGCTGCCGTGGTAATCCGCTCCACCACCTCTCGCTCCACCTCCATCGAACACTCCGGTCCCACCGTCTCGGAGAAACACCGTTCGATCTCCTCCAACATTCTCTTCCCCTGTGAATCGAAATCGATGGACTTAAACATCACTGTCTCGTCAACCCCTTTCAAGAAATCTTCCAACCATGGCTCTAAACCTTTGCTTCTTTCTTCGCCCTCCCTGTTCTCTTCTGGAAGGAAGTTCAAGTCCGGGCACGGGCTTCGTCCATTGTGGGCCCGTTTCACCCGCTTTTTTGGTGGGTCCCACCTGTCTGGCCCGTCCCCGAGATCGACTCCTACCTGGATCTCGATTGAGGGCCAAATTCTTGCAGAGGAAAAAAAATCTCCTTTTTCTTCTTGAGAAGAGTTACCGCAAGCAGTAATAAAGATTGCATTACTAATGCTGACGTCTCTCCCGCGTGAATCTGAGAATTTACCCGTCTTGACAGCGCGCGATAAGCTGTTCTGGAGAAGATGATCGGCTTTCTCGATGTTTTCAAGAAAAAAAACAGACATCGGATTCTCCGACAGCTTGTCGGCGATGAAGTCGGCGGCGGTTTTCCCTCTGAGTGTGACGTCATATCTGTTCGAAACAGGGAGATCGAACGGCGATTTCGCGGTGGCGGCAGGTTCCGGGAAGCTGAGATCCACGTAGATCAAGCTCTGGGTTGTCCCGGAGAGAATCTCGGAAACGGCGACAGCCAGTTTCTTCTTCCCCAGCTCATCTTCTCCGGCGAAATGGAACCATACATCCCTTCTGCACCGAGCTATTCTCTGGCTCACAACTCTCACAGCTTCTTCTTGCCACCAAACCCTCTCCACCAGAGCTCCGTACAGAATCTTGAAATCTTTCCGGTCAAAGATGCCACCTTTCGACTTTTCCGATTCTCCCGAGCAAATACGCAGGCCCAGATCCATTGTCACGGAAGTGACGGAGGAAGGCGACGAAGTCGCGGGGTCAAGCTCATTTGACGGGGTTTCGCCGAACATGGACAGAACGGCTGTGGCGCTGTTGTTGACGTCTGAAAGAACGCTTTCTTTCGATGCGGAAACGCCAGTTTCGCCATTGCCGGCGACTTGGACTCCGGCGATGGGCGGGAATTGATCGGTGGGGAGATTGTAGTGAAGCCGGTGACAGAGAGAGTCCCATTTCTTATTCACCCCATCAATTCTAGCGCTCAGTAACACCTTATCGTCTTTGGCCTGCACTGAAAATGTACAAAGTAGTAGTTTTTACATAACCCTTTTAATAATAAGAAAAACTTTCTTGGATCTTCTTCAACCTAGAGCTTCAAAATTGATTCTTTAAAAACTCATAATTAAAGAAAATAAGTAACATAGGCACGGAATTTAGGTATACAAACCTCGATAGAGTCCATTATATTGGTGTTTTGAAGCCAAGAAGGGAGACTAGAGTGGTGCTCGCCGGAAAGTGCATTAATTTCTTGCCTGCACTTCTCGATGCAGAGGAAGCACCGCCGCGTGCTTGGGTTTGAGCTACTCATCAACGGCGGCCCTTTGACATGTCCAGAAGCTGTTGCAGGAAAGAATCCTCCAAGTGGAACGAATGATTCCATCAATCTGTAACCACATTTCTATAATTATGAGCATGGAATTGTGAATTCAGCAAAGAAAAAAGAAACAAAAAAAATCTACGAATTCATACCTGGATTTGGGATATGATGATGATTCTCCCAAGAATGGTTCTGCATATGTGATTGTCAAGAGCTGCAAATCCCAGTCCTTCTCTAAGGATGGGAATCTGTTCAACACTTTCAAGTAAACCTCGTACCGTTCAACCGAACCAATCACCCACAAATTCTCCGGATGAACTTTCACCAAATTTCCCATTTCCCTGACCAGAAACTCAGAGGAAACTCCATCAACTGCCAACACACTTAAATCCCCGAAATTGACAATAACACCTTCTTCGGGATTTCTACATTGGCTTTTCAGTCCCTCAAGCTTAAATCTCATCATCCTTTCGTCGTAGTCGCCATTAACGGACCCCGAGAGCTCGGTTTCGAAACAGACCACTTTCAGTCCGGATAATTTCATTGGCATTTGCCCGGTTTCTCTCCTATTCAAAATTCCCAAGAAATTCTTGAGTGTGTTGTGAGCAGATACCCCAACTAACAATGGGTTCTTCTTGTTCTTCTTTTCAAGAACTTCCCCGATTCTCCTGCAATTCTTGTCTCCCTCTGAAATTGCAGGGTTTCCCAGGAAAGGGAAAGTGAAACATTTCCGACCCAAATCGGAATCCGGGGATAAATTACAGAGAAACATAGGAGATGGATGGCCTTGGTAAGTTGAATATCGGAAGAATTGATGAACAGGCCTTAAAAGAGCAACCTTTATATCACAGCTTATAAACCCGGCTTCTCCGAACACTCTGCTCACCGCCGGATCATCGAGAATGGAAACCGTCATGTTCTGTATCTCAACCTTGATCACCGGCGAGCAAGAAGACGGCGGCGAGTTCTGTGGCTGATGGAATGTATAACTCTCCGGCTGTCTCCTCTGGTTCGCCTGAGACCGCTTGATGGCCGCCATTAGGGAGTTCGACACCGGCGGCTCGTCGGCCGGAGACGGGGACGCCGGGAGCCGGTCGAGAGACACCGCGAGGCAGAGCTCGAGCGCCTTGAACTGCACGCGCGCGGAGTACGCGGCGCTGCGCGTGCGGGCGCAGGCTTCCCGGAGAGGAGAGGAAGGGAGGGAGAGGAGGGAGGAGGCCATGTGAACCGACGTCGTCTGGGCGTGCCCCCTTCTCCTCGCCACAGCCACCGCATCGTCCAGCGCTTTTGCCGCTTCCGGCGTCAAGCATTGTCGCGCCGTCGTTACTGACGTCGGCATCGCCGGGAAAAACTGGTTTACTTTTTTTTGTAATGATAACAGAAAAGACTCTTTCGGCGTCGTTTTCACATCAAAGTCAGGTGCTTAAGTTTAATTATTGAAAATGCTCTGTAGAAAAAAGAATAAATAAATTTGGTGGAAGAAGCAGAAGACGAATGGCGTGGTGGGGTTTCTCAGGTGTGGGTGGGTAGCTATCATGAACTCCATTGCATATATATATATGTGTGCGCGCGCGTGTGTTAATAGCATGGGTACTATTTGGTTTACAAAAAGGGCGTCAAAATCCCCCTGTTTTCAAAAGTTAATTGTAAAGTCTCTGTGGTTTCTAAATAGAGCAGACATGCCCCCCTTACCTATTTTTAAAACAAAAATGACATTTATACCCTTTGTTTTCCCCGATCTTAAATTTTTCCGATTTTAATTTCCTTTATTATACAAATATATAAAATATTTTGTTTTCAAAAGTACATTATGAAAAATTCTAATTTGAGATGGGAAGCATATATTTTATTTTATATATTTGTATAATAAAGGAAATCAAAATCGGAAAAATTCAAGATCGGGGAAAACAAAGGGCATAAATGTCATTTTTGATTTAAAAATAAGTAAGGGGGGCATGTGTGCTTTATTTATAAACCACGGGGACTTTAGAAATAACTTTTGAAAACAGAGGGGTTTTGACGCTCTTTTTGTAAACCACAGGGGTGCCCATGCTACTAACCCATACACACACACACACACACACACACACACACACACACACATATATGGGATTGACTCCAGTGATATGACACCTTATGGTGCGATGACATGCTTCGATCAGATGACGCATAGCTCACCACTGCTCACTGCAAAGCTCACCAAGCACAACTACAAAACTCACCAAACTGTAAGGCAAAGCCCAACATTTTTTTTCAACACTGTGATTTTTTTTAAAAAAAAAATCAAAGGAAGAGGTGCTGATTAGACTTTGACCATTGACCATCACCGGCCACCGCCTGCCGCCGCCGACCACCGCCGCCTCCGACCTCCGCCACCGACCACCGCCGGTCTCCGCCGCGCCGCCTCTGCTGACCAGTGCTGCTATTTTATTTTTATTTATTTTTTTAATTTTCAAAATTAAAAAAAGATGAGTTTTGGTGTTGAAAGTGGTGAGCTTTGATTTATTTCCAAGTGAGCTTTACATTGGCCATTGGTGAGTTTTGCAGTGTAATGTGGTGATCTTTGCGTCATCTCACCGAAGCATGTCATTTCACCGTAAGGTGTCATATATATATGTGTGTGTGTGTGTGTGATTGACTCCAGTGAAATGACACCTTACGGTGAGATGACATGTTACGGCCAGATGACACAAAGCTCACTACTACCAACTGCAAAGCCGCAAAAGCAAAGTTCATCATATTTTTTCAACACTTTGAAATTTTTTTAAAAAAATAAAATCAAAGAAAGGGATGATGACTAGACTTTGACCGTTGACCGAGATCTTTGACCGCCGTCTATTGCCGCCGGTCGCCGGAATCCGCCACCTGCCGCCGCCGGTCGCCGGAATCTGCCGCCTGCCAACGCCGCTCCGCCGCCAGTCGCCGGCAATCGCCACTGCTCCGCCGCCTGCTGCGCCGCTGACCGCTGGTTGGGCGATGTTGCTATTTTATTTTTTATTAATTTTTAATTTTCAAAATTTAGAAAAAGGGTGAATTTTGGTGTTCAAAGTGGTGAGCTTTATTTTATTTCTAGGTGAGCTTTGCATTATCCATTGGTGAGCTTTGTAGGATAGTGTGGTAAGCTTTGCGTCATCTCACCGTAGCATGTTATCTCACTATAAGATGTCATCTCACTAGAGTCAATATATATATATATATATATATATATATATATATCGGTATTCATTTCGATTCAATTTGTTTACACCTCTATTGCCAGGTCTAATTTTCTCAAAGACAAGGTAAAGTCCACATTGGAGGAGGAGCGGACGTGCAATGGATGGAGCCAACTTTGGGTCGGTCTCACACGGGTCAAATTTATGCCCTCATGCGGATCACTTTTGGGAGCCACCCACCAACATTTTTTATCTCCATCCCATGTTACTGCTCTGTGCCTTTTCTATATTTTCTCTTTTCAAATAAGCAATGAGTGGGAAAGGATGACTATTAGAAAGAGAAAAAATATTTTTACTCTTTTTGAGAGGGAAAAAAGTAAATGAATTCTTTTTTTTTTTAGTTTTTTTGGTTATTGACTTCCCAACTCTTTTAAAAAAATGCACGAATTCTGCACGAACTTTAAAAAATGCATCATTGGTCCCAAACTTTTAAAAATGTTGCCAAATTTAAGAGTATTCTAATCACACATTTTTCCGGTGCAAATAAATGGATTCATCTAAAGTCTAAATTCGTACTTCCTCTGTCACGGAAAACATGGAGGTTTTGGTTTTGGAGAGAGATTTAAGGAGAGTGTATTTTAGTATTAAATTTCCAAAAATGTCTTTTGATGTGATGGGTAAAAGTATGATTTGATGGATAGATTATTAGTAAAAAGGTATGATGTGATAGGTAAGGTATGAAAAAGTAAGGGGTAAAAGTGACTTTTAATAGAAATAAGAAGTGTTTTTTGGAACAGAAAAAAAAAAGGAGAAAAGTTTTCTGGGACGGAGGGAGTATATCATATGCGGGTTCTTCAATATGTTTTCCAAAGGCTACTTTCTATTCCCTTCATCTCAAATAGTTTACCACATTTTGCAAAACCAACCAAAACTGTAGTGTTTTTTATTCATTTTTTAAAAAAACTATTTAGATAAAAAAATAAAATTTACATATTAAAAAGCTACGTGAAAATCTTTTCAACACAGGCGATGACAAAAATATTTTATTTTATTAAATAGTCATCGAAAATGTACAATAAACAAAAATATCATGATTTTTGAATGGGGAACTGTGATATTCTTTTTTAGATGAAGGCAGTATATTTTTAAACTCGTGAAACCCTAAATAAATATTCTCGCTTTAGTCGTCAGTAACCGAACTCAAAACCCGGACATTAGTTGATCGGTTTAACTTTTCATCAGTCGTTCACCATCTTCATCTATCCATTACATTAGTCTTTATCAAGTCCCAACAAATATATTGATGAGTCTATGAACAACCCACTGCAAAATCTGATATATATAAAAATCATTGATGCAACATTTTTTAAATGTAGTTGTGTTTTTATGGTAAAGAAGAATCATTGTGCTTAGTTTTTAAAGAATTCAAGAAGAAATGACTCATTTTTCCCTTTTCTTTCTAATTTTACTAACCGAACATAGTGTGAGGGGTATTGCTAAAAAATGGAAAAACAACCTTTGCCATTTGCCGTGTCCGTCCCAAACTCAAAGTGCACTTCGTATCGGATGCAAAAAAAAAACATTTACTGTGTAAAAGAAAAAAAGAGAATCTAATGTTACTGGGGATCGGAGCAGCAGTAGTTTAATTTGAGAATAAACTGTCACTGTGTTAAAAAGTTTTTTTCCCCTGTTTTTTAAAAGAAAAACACTGTACTTTCTTCTTTTATTCATCATAATCTTTTCAGGCAAAAACAGTCCCGAAAAGCATTATTGCGCTGTCTTTTAATCATAATAGTAGCTCGATCCCTCTAAAGGGAAAATGTGAAGCTCGTTAATTCTAGGGTCAAATCTTGACAGCGATAGTGTGAAAGTTCTATTATTTGTAATAGCTCATCGGTCATGGAACAACCAATCTAAGAACGAGATCGAGATTATACCATGATTTACCTCCCTCACAATCTTGTCGAGCCGAGGTGTGGAGGGAGCCGGGAGCAGTAGTTCCACCTTTTCAACGAATGGGTAAAGAGATGTTTGTGGGTCATGATCGAAATGGAGCTAGCTTAGCTTTTTTGGCTACACAGTTTCTATAATAGCTAGTCACCCCATTTTTTATCGTCCATTTGTCCCAACATAAAATTCCTCCCCTCATTCTACTGTATTCAAATATTCCCTCCTTTTAAAATTAATTTCTTAGTTTAACTTCTATTAAATTTAAAAAAAATAAAAATTGTATACTTGAAAGTGATGCATATGAGAAAAAAATGAGTCACAATAAAAATTTCTAAAAAAGAGAGAATATTAATTTAGGACAATTCAAAAATAAAATAAGAACGATTAATTTGGGACGGAAGGAGTATACCACATCTGTCTCCAAATGAATTACACATCCTCTTAGATCTCGATCTTTTATACTCCCTCCGTCTTATAAAGTGTTACCCATTTTGACTAAAGTTGAAATTAAGAGAGGGATAATTTTGTATTGACTTTTCAAAAATACCCTTGATGTGATGGGTAAAAGTAGGATGTGATGTGTAGATTATTAGGAAAAAGGTATGATGTGATAGGTAGGGTTTGAAAAAGTAAGGGGCAAAAGTGGTTTTTTAATAGAAATGGGTAGGAGATTGTGAGACTCAATTTTTTTAAAAGGTGTAAATCTTTTTGGGACGGAGGGAGTATTCATTATCTTTTCAAGTTGGCTTAGAAATAATTCAAAAAGTAAATTTACATATTAAAAATTTACATTAAAAATTTTACTCCCTCCATCCCTAAATATTTGCAACATTTTCTTTTTCAGCAGTCGCAGGAACTTTTGTTTATTTCTACATTTTTATTGGTTATTTGATAAATTAAAATATTCTTGACATTTCTTATTTCGAAGAACTTTTCATGTAATTTTTTTATATGTAAATTTTATTTTTTATTACTATACTAATATGTAAATAAAATAAATTAAAAAACTTGATATTTTGCCTCGATAATATAAGTGTGACAAATATTCAGGACGAAGGGTGCACTTTTCTTATTTTCTAGAGTTTTAAAAAAGTTTTAAAAAGTGTTAAGAGCTTCACTTGGCCAAAAGGCGATACAATTATCCCTTTTTTGATTTGATGTGTTTTGCTTTCTTTTCACCTTCTTGGTTCACTTTTTTTACACTTTATTTCTTTCCTCTCTCTCTCAATCCCTTTTTATTCTCTCGCACGTACCAAACAATTCTTCTCTCACATCTCTGAAAAAAAGATTTTTCGGATCATGTTTGCATATAATCAATGGCCCTTCTTGAAAAGGTTCACCTTTTCTTCTTAATTACCGACTACATTACACTGAGTATACGTCTCATTCTTTTTATGGTCTAGCTCTTTTAATTTGTTCATTT